TAAATGCTATTTGTCATGTCTGCCTTCAGATGATTAATGTAGTGTATTCTCTCTCTCTCTCTCTCTCTCTCTCTCTCTCTCTCTCGTCTGTCTGTCCATCTTTTCTTCCTCCTCTCTCATGATCAGTAATCATACTAAGGTTTCACTAGTCTCTGAATTACTGTACATGCCAATGGCAGAATTCTGCAAAATGCAATGATAATCCCACTGTGTTGAGTGTAACAAATTAAGTATGCATTCACACATTTGAATATAGGTACAACCTGAATATATTGTGTATATATTCATGCATAATATTGTGTTTATTTTGTATACAGATTAAAAATATATAATATTGATCTTATGCATATACATAATTCGTTAATTCCAGTATAATAAAATTTTATCATTTGATGGCCATTCAGATTAAATTAAAAGAGTACTAAAGTATATACATACATATAATACTTTAAAATATGTTAAGAATATGGCAATAGTATTTGTTTAGGCAAGAGATACTGTATGTTTGGTAAATTGTCAAACAGTGCCTAAATTACATTCCTGGGAACTTTTAAACTCCAGTTTAGAACTATATCAGAACATCTGTGAGTGGTCTAGTGCATGAGCTCACTTGCAAAGATATAGGATTGTTGTAATGCATATCAGTCGTTTTCAATAATCACCTCAGAATTTGTTTTAAATCACTTTGAAACCAGACACATAGCTGGCTTGAAGCATCAAAATTGAATGCGAACAGAGATGAGGTCATTAACCCTAACTTTTCATATCCTTTACAGCCATTTTGTGTTAGGATTGTGTTTATGTTGTTAGTCTCTTCAGAAAGATTTCCAAAAATCCTGAGTGATTCTAAATATTATGCTAGCTATTTAACAGTGTTGTCGGGGCCAAGGTAAGCATCTCAAAGCATATGATGTACTGTATTGCTGAAAATTTCTCTCAAATGGAAGCATAGTGTTAACACAGATGGGGAAAGACCTATGGGGCTCCAACCATAGACAAAGAATGACAGGCAACTGAGAAAAGCTGATCGTGGCAGAGTCCCCTAATTGGTGATCTAATACCAAGTGGTTAAGACTGCAACCATATACATACTAGTAACACTAAACAGACTGAGGAGGCTGCATTTGGATATTTAAATGTGTTTGTGTGTGTGTGTGTGTGTGTGTGTGTGTGTGTGTGTGTGTGTGTGTGTGTGTGCAAAATGAAAACAAAGACTTCAAGAGGGAGCAAGAAGGGGTGGCACATGGAAGTCATTGAAGAAAGGAAAGGGGAAATGATGTGATTATATTTTCATTTTAAAATGTCCATTCAACTTTTTAAAGAATAGGAAAATGTCAACATGGTGCCAAGGTTAAAGCTTTTAGCGGTGACTACTATAAAATAAAAAACTGTAAATAGAGGAAGCTGCTAGGAAATAATCAGAAAAGTCGATGCATATTCACAAGATTTTGGTTTCAAGGTTCTTGGGATGTTTATCCACTTTGCCTCTATAACACCAAGAAACAAAGTAGTGTCATTTATTTCTTTAAAATTTTTATTGCACCTATTTATTTCTATATAGGGGCATGCACAGACACAGGACCCCTATGTGGACGTAGTAAGATAGCTTGAACGTGTTGATTCTCTTCCACCTTTAGTCCTGGCAATTGAACTCTGGTCATCAGTCTAGGTTTTCTAAGAAGCTAAGTTAAATACTATGAGAAAATTAGTTCAAAGATAGTAGTTAGCCCTGTGTCACTGTTCTAAGCACAACTCTGGATACAAGTTAGGAATGTGCCTTGACCTTCTGTGTTCTACATAGTGGTTAGTTGATTATTGTCAGCCCTCATCGAAGAACCTTCCTTTTGGAATGACAGAGGCTGCTATAGAGACACACAAATGATCAAAATATAAACAGTTAGTAATTGTGAAATGATCACAATTGGCACATCTATGATGCAAAACCTATACCTCAGGCTCAGGGAATATCACAGGTGAAGGGTGCAGAAAGGTCTTAAGCACCAGAGGATCAAGATATCTAATGCTAAACAGTATCTGTCTTCTAAACATGGCAAGGAAGCTGTATCCTTGACTCCCATCAGTGTTGTTGCAAAACAAGAAATGCATAATGACAGCATCAGTTGACATGTCTGTAGGGGAAACTGTACAAGCCTCCATCACAGAATGAAGAGATACAGGTAATCAACAGCTGTGGCGAGACAAAAAAAAATCAGTCCTCTGTTTGAAAGAGTGCCTCCATATGTTATCGAATCCCAAATGATCAGTCCTAATTACATGTATGTAACAGCAATACTAAATGGGGTCAGTATGTTATGGTTGCGTGTGTGTGTAACTATTATAGAAGAAGAGATCATGAACTTGAGAGGCAGTGGAAACACAGCAGGAGTCGTAGGGGAAAGAAGGAAGAGAGAAAATGATATAAATTTAGCACTTGTATGAAATTCTTAAAATGTATATATATATATGTGTGTATATATATATAAATCAAGAAAATATATGTGTATATGTATAAAATATTTCTCTGCACATGAGTGCAGGTACACACAGAGGCAGGAAGATGGCTTCGGATCTCATGGATATGAATATAAGCAGGTATTAACTATCAGGCAAGAGTGCTGGAAACCAAACAGGTTCTCTGCAAGAACAATACCTGCTTTCAACTTCTGGGCCATCTCTCCAATCATTTGCACTTTTAATGACATTAAAAATTTAAAAGAGTATGTGGAAAGTTTTTGTAAATTACTCATTGATTCAAAACAGTACACACAGCAGTTATGCTTCATATAACATATATGAAACAGAAGGGTAAAGTAAAAGAAGAAATTAGATCTATATAATTTATGAAGTAAACCAATTCCAAGAGGACTTCTTTTATAATTGAAGTTTTGAGCTTTTTGCTTTAAAATTCTCATAACTGATCATAGTATTACCTGATATCTCATCAAAGAGTAAATAGTGTTATCAATATAAGCACAAAGAAAATATGTTATTCATGCTTAAATGATGAGATAAACTGGAGAGGCAAAATTACAAAGGCTTGAGTAATACCAGACATGAATATCTCTTGTCAAACCTACATGAATGAAGGAAACCTAAAACCATTTGCAGTGTATATAAAGATTTGTAAAATATTTTAAATAGAATTCACTTTTTAAAAAAGTCATATTGATCCATTCTTAGAAATGGTCAGCTCTCAGGAAGTGCTTTAAAGGGGAATATTTTCAGGACCCCTGACCATAACATTAAAGATGAACTGTCCTTCATGGAAATGAGCAGCATGGAGGTAACCTATATGCTGGCAAATGATGAAAATAATTTTATTTCCTATTTTCAGGAAATCTTAAGTCTTTCATTTATAGCTATATGACCTATATCATTAAACAAATACCCACAGTGTTAGGAAACAATGCCATATAACTCTGAGGCAGCTTTAAAGAAAGTGTCAAAAGGTTAATCCAATTCTACACTAAAGTATCCCCCTAGCTCTCCAAAGTAAAGTTTAAAACATATAATCTAGTCTCCTGTGTCTCTTAATCCTTTTCACCTATGATTAGTTCCTGTTTATGTTAGCAAGTAAAAAAGATTTAATGTTGGTCAAAGGTTCTCAGGGTGTATTTTCCTTTTAACAAAAATCAATATCCCTAGGAAATGTAACTCACTCTTTATAGGAGCAGCCCCTCAATCAGTAATAATAACAAAAATAGTTTGAGTTCCCTAGTTGAAGCAAGCAGGTTAGTCACAACTCAAATAAAAAATCAAAGCTGGTTACTAACAAGGTTCAAAAATGCTAGGCTTTCGTCAAGATTTGGATCAACATCTAAGTCTTGTAATTGTGCTTAATTGAACATTAAGAACTGCCACTGAAATGCAAGAAAAACAGTGATGATGTAATAGCCTACTGTGGAGATTATTCTTGTCTGGCATGTGGACTATTTCAAACCACACTTCATAAGTTGCGATACTTTTGACAACTTAATCTAAAGTAGATACTGTTTAAAATCCTCTGATCACTAAAGCGCTCTAAAATATGAGCCATTTAAATATGCATTTCCTGGCAATTAATGCCAACTAGTGACAGTGAAGACATGTTTCATTACAGGTTTGTAAAGAAACCACAGAAGAGGAACATAAGAGAATTATCTAGCACACACACCCGTAAATTCCTATGCTGACACGGAATAAACAGATTTCACACAGTAGTTCTTTAATCTTCCCTGAAGTATGATGATGGTCAATATCCCTTAACATAAAATATTAGATTTTGAACATAGTTATTAATCTCATTCAATATCCAATTTAGGAAAAGTTGTCAAATTTTCAGAGAAAGGATCAAGTATGCTTTCATAGTAAATTATTTTCCCATCTGACTACATGGATGTTTAGATAGAGATACTGATTCTGAAGCCCAACAGAAAGCAGAGAGTGGCCTCAGACCATAATGTCCAGGGAGAGGAAATACAAGGCCATTATGCTAATGCTACATCTATGTTAACAATCTATTCAAAAAATTACACTTAATATTCACACAAGAAAGACACAGACAAGTAGGTAGAAAAAAATCAACTTCAGCATAAATAAGAAAGGGATTCGAACCCTGAGTGTATGTTGGTGTGACTAGACTGCTTCTATACTCATTCTGAGTACCCAAAAGAAAGGAACTGCTTTGTAGAAGAAATACTTTAATAAATGTATTTCACCACCAGAGAAGTGAGCATCATGCCATCTGCCGTATTTTCAAAGTATATATGGTCCCCACATTATTTAGTCATCCTTTAAGTGTGATGATGATCACGGCCCCTGGCTGATTAGAGCTCATCTGACTAAAGGCAGACAAATGTCTTACACAGCAGAGGAAGTTCAATGAAGTCCCTACTCATTCTCTAACAGTCTATAAGGACCCATGTTGGTCCCATAGCTTTGGGACCATTTCTCTGTATGAATATTAGGGGGAAATCGGCATTGTAACAACATCAACATTCAATTCCCAGTCCTATAATATATTTGAGAAATTTATTTTTACCAAATGAATACGTTCAGATTTTATTAATGCTTTTAAGACACAGGAGACACACAGCTGATATTTGGGTTGTTGTCTCTGCAGAGAAAAAGATGCAAATGTTTAATGTCTATTACATAGTGAGGAAGAGAATGACTAAGCACATTGTCTTACTTAGGACATCTAAGGTTCAGACCCCAAATCAAATACCTTCCAGATACGTATTTATAGGCACAAGATTATTTCTGTTTCCTTTCCCTTCTCCAAATATGCTGTGTTCAGTGTAAATTTTGGCCTCTCTTCAATAAAGAGTGCATTTGGCAAAAGCAGGAACATTTTCTCAGCTCTGTAGGTGATGACTAGTGGTTCAGCGCTCGACGGCATCATGGTTATTATCCCCAGGTCTCTGGTTTCAATATACGTAACTCTTTCCTCCTGAGCATTCATATATGTGAGATTCAACTACCATCACAAGGCATAGATAGGTAGTGTGGTCACTGGTAGCACCTGGTCATCTTGACCTGTCTCTGCTTCCCCAACTCTTCCTGACTCATGGAAGGTGGAATATTAGATTGACATTCTCATACATAGAACAACTTTTAAGTGAAAAGTATGAGAGCCCTTTCTTTCATGTAATCACTGCTCATATGTGCACCCTCTCACATAAGCAACAATTTTTCTGTGAGTAGTTTACTGAGAATCTGAACACAGGGAGGACACATAAATGTATAAAATGACAATAATAATGGCTGTCATTGATCAAGCAGGTGTGAAACACCAGGGAAGAGCTAGAGTTATGACCAACAGTCCCAGAGGCTGTGTGACATCTACAGGCGAGCTCAGTGAGTCTATTTGCAGGTAAACTGAAACTCTGTAATTGAGCTTCCTCCCCTCAAGATGTTGGGCACAGTCCTGGTTTCAGATCCCCAATCTGCCATGGTGCCACCTACCCTTAAATTGCTGCTTACAGCCTTGCTTCATCTCTGGAGTAACACGTCTGTGTTGGAGCCTGCAAACCACCGTGTCTTCATAACTGAGGAGTTACTTTGTCCCACAAAATACAGAGAAAACTTATTCCTAACAAAGGAAAGTAAGATCTAGTCAGTAGGGAGATGTGGGGTGAGCTGCATCACTTTGAACTGGGAATTTTTCAGTAGCGTATTTAAGGGAAAGAGCAATGTTTGTTCTTTGCCTTTGAATTGCCTTAGGCTCCCTTGACAAGAAGTCCATCCACCTCACTTAAAGAAAGCCTCTTTTCCACAGGAGGGCGTCATTGAGCACAATCCAGGCCTCCTTACTGTGCTGAGGTGAATCTTGAACTGGAGAAGAAACCACCTTTACTTATTCAGCCTCTGCAATTTTAAAATGTTGCCTTCAAAGAAACAGTAGATCATTGGACGGGGACATTCCCCTTTTCAAAGACTTCTCTCTCCAAAAACACATACACGTATTTCTAAATGGTGAGCTAATACATAGATTGGCTTAGCTGTATAATTACTGTTTTCCAGGAGACTGGAGATTTTTATTGTTCATTAAAGCCAGAGGGACTCAACCTACACCCTAACCTTTTAGAGTTAATGTAGTTATGTCAATTTTCCATGGTAATTTAAACTTTTGAAGTGTGTAAATTTGGTATAAAAAAACACAATATGTGAACTTGAAAAGTAGTAAAATATGTACTAGAATTTGACCACTGTCTAATAACTGCTAGCATTTTGGTGCCACACTAACTTGCTTACTTTACGGATAACCATAGACAAACAGATTTAGAGAAATGAATTATGGACAATGCCTTGTTTCAACTAGTAATTATGCTGGTAACATCTCATGTAGAACTGCATACTTGCTCCCTACAGTCTCCCCTTGCCAATATATAACATGAATTCATATGTTTTCCTATATCTTTTATATACAACCACTTATAAAAATCATTAAAGGACTTTTGACTGTTTGCTGCACAAAAATTACACATTACATTTCATTATGCTATTTTCTTCAAAAGTATCTTGCTACTATTTCTCTGAGTATGTTTAAACGTAATCTGTGCTTTTATTTTTAATGAAGCATAATAGTGTGTCATAGTGTAGATGTGCCATATTTCCCCCATAATTTTTAACAATTCGTTTCTATTTTATTTTTAAAATTTTACACAATATTTTTTGAACATCTTCTTTTGCCTCTGCCAAGCCAACTCCTCCCAGCTCCTCTCTTCCTCTCTACCCATCCAACTTCATACTCTCTGTATCTTTGTCTTTCTCAAGAAAAAGAAAAAGAAAATGCAATTTCACTAAAAAAAGATTTTTACAATCCCAAAACAAAGATAATAATACATAAAGACAAACAAATACGGAGGGTGTTCCTTGTTGGCCTACTACTCCTAGGCACAGGGTTTTCCCTGGAAAGTGGTTGAATACACCCAGTGACACTCCACCAGAGAAGATAAATTCCTCTTTCCCAGCAGGTATCAATTGCATATAGCTTCTTAGGTGGTGTGGGGATGGGGACACTTTGTGTCTTTTTACTCATTCTCCACCCTAGGGTTTTGTCTGTTTTGAACTTCTTTAGGTTTTGTGCATGTTGTCACAGTCTTTGTGAGTTCAGACTGTATTGATCATGCTGTGTCTGGAAAGTGGTGTGTCCCTGGAAACATTTGCCACCTCTGCAGCTGACAGTCTTGTGCCTCATCTGCTACAGAGATCCCTAAGCCACAGGGAACAGTTTGATAGAATATTTCTGTGAGTACCAAATGCTCCATAGTCTCCCACTCCCTTCACATTGCCCAGGTGTGGGTCTGAGCATTAATCACTATCTACCGCAAGAAGAAGCTTCTCTGGCAATGACTGAATGATGCCTTCATCTATGAGTATAACAGTACGTCACTAGGAGTCATTATTAGCAGGATAATAGTAGCAGGTTTCCTACTTTTTTGATCTAGGCATCTTTTGTTTCTTAGAACTGAATTCATTATTTGCTATAGGTTTAAGTATGGGATGTTTTCATTTTTTCAATTCTAAAAAGTTTCAAACATCCTTCCTGATTTCTGTCTTGGACTGATTTTCATTAGGTTTCCATGGATCTGTACATTTTCTTCCATTCATGTTGTTGTTGATTTCCAGCTCTAACACATGGTGGTCAGATAGGATGCAAGGTGTTGTTTCAATTTCCTTTTATATCTCTTGAGGCTTGTTTTGTGCCCTGATGTGTGGTAAACTTCAGAGAAAGTTCCATGGGCTGCTAAGAAAACAGTCTATGCTTTAATGTCTGGGTGGAATGGTCTGTAGATGCCTGTTAAGTCCATTTGATTTCTGTGTGTTTCTTACACGCAGTAGGAAGATGGATCCTGTCTTCTAGTCTAATCTGTTTGCATATATGTTTTATGGGGAATTGAAATCACTAATGCGGAGAGTTTTTAAAGAGTGGTATTCAATTCCTGTTATTTTGTTTTGTTGGTTTGGGCCCCTCCATTTTGATTAAATGTTCTGGGATTACTTATTGCTTATGTCCTCTTGAGAGTAATTAACCTTCTCTTCAGACTCAAGTTTTCCTCCCAATGCCTTCTATAGAGATGTATTTGCAGACAGGTACTTCTTAAATTGGTTATTATTACAAAATATTTTTTTCTTTTTCTTTCAATTGTGGTTGATAGTTTTGTGAGGTAGTTGGGAATGCATATTTGGATCTTGTAGAACATCCTGCCAGGCCTTTTGGTCTACAGAGTCTGTATTGAAAAGTCAGATTTTATTCAAACGTACCTGCTTTTGTATGTACTTTGTTCTATCCCCCTAGGGCTTTTAATATTTTTTTTGCTCTGTACATTTAGTGGTTTTATTATTGTGTATCATAGGGAGTTTCTTTTCCGGTCTTACTTAGTGCTCTGTGTTCCCCTTGACCATTCATAAGCATCTCTTTTTTTGGACCTTCTATGACTTTGTTAATATTAGTTTCCTGCCCTAAATGTAAGTTTCTTTTCCTTCCTCTAAATGTATTTCTTTGTAAATTTGGTCCTCTTATAATGTCCCAGATTTCTGGGATGTTTCACATCTGGATTTTTATTTTCTTTTTTTTTAACATTGAACATTATCTTTGACTGAGCTATTTCTTCTACCCTGTCTTCAAGACCTGATTTTCACTCTTCCACATCTTGTACTCTATAGAGGAGGCTTAACCCTGAGCTTAGTGTGACATCCTAAGGTTTTCATTTCCAGTTTGGGTTTTCTTGAATCTTTTTCTTTGTTAAATTCTGCATTTATGTCTTGAAATGTTTTAATTGTTTCATTCACCTGTGTTTCCACAGTCTTCATTAAGGATTATTTACTTCTTAAGGTCCTTGAACATATTCATAATTGACATTTTGAAGTTCTTGTCCTGTGCTTCAGCTAAATTGCTTTTTAGAGAGCCTAGTACAATAGAGTTGCTAGCTTCTGGAGAAGGCATACTGTCTTGTTCATTCATGTTTTTCTTTTTGTGCTAGGGTCCCAGCAACTATAGTTATGATATTTAGCATTTTTCTTGATGTAGATATCTAGTCTTGCCCTTCTCAGGTGGGTGTTCTGGTCTTTTGTTGCAGGTTCCTACTCTGGGTCCTAATTATGTGTGGCAGCTGTGGGTTTCCTGAGAGAGGGGTGTTCTGTGGGTCAGCAATCAGTCACAAATGAATGGAGTTGGACTAGAAGGGAAGGCTATAAGGAACTGCTGGGAAGAAGTAGGAGAAATCTGGGTCTGCCTCTATTTTTCAACTAGGAAAAGGAATCTTTGAACTCAATGTGTTAGACATGTAATTACTTTAACCAATATATTTTCAGAAACTGTCAAAATACGTGTTTATGGGTACATGTATGCATGCCTGTTTATGCATGTGTATGCATGTGTCTGTATGAATATGCATGTATATGCATGTGTCTGTGTGCATGTAAATATTCATATGTGTATACATGCATGGGTGTGTAGTTTAAGATATTAACAGAAAACTTTTCCTTTATCCAGAAGCTCTGTTTTACAAGGATATATAAACAACAAAGAAATGTCTGTAGCTTCAGTATGAAGAAGGTAAAAAATTTTTCAAAAGCATCTCCTGTTCAGTCTGTGTAATGTGACATATATGCTTGCTGACTGCTTGTGCTTTGCCCTGGGGAAGGCTATTGCTCCCCATTTTCAGCCTTCCTTAGCTGCCTGTAGTCTTTGTGTAGGACTAAGGCCCTATTAACTTTACCCCTGCTCAGAAATTTACACCATCCACATTAGTACATATACTTATGTTGCCCTTGTTCAATGCGTGTTGATAGCCATGCTGGTGAGACATCATGGAAACATCCACACAAGTAACATTGACAGACTGAGCAGATTGTATTTATACATATGCATGTATCTATGTAACAACAACTAATGAAATAAGAAGCCATGAGTTTGAAAGAGAGCAAGAGAAAAATATTTTAGGGTTTATGTGGAGGAAAGGGGAGAAAGAAATTATCTAGATATAATGTAATCTCAAATATATGTATATATCTTAAAAAGCATCTCTCACTCCTTCTTTGATGCAATTGTCCACCTGTTTAGAGTCTATACAACAAACACAAAAACAACTCTGTTACTTTATTGCAATAGCCAGAAATAAAATTTAAGTTTCTAAATACAAGAAATTTTCACATTGTTTTAACTACTTTTCAGTAGCTCTCAAAAATATTAACTTAGGGAGCATTTGAGGATCACTGCTTCCTGTAGAAGGAGTGATGGGTTAATGTGCTTGACAGGGTAGGCGAGTGAATTGGTGAGTGACAGAGTGGATGACTAGCTGGTTTTCCATTTTTCTGTGCTCTCCTAATTCACAGGGCCTATTAGCATTTATGGAAGTTATTGCATTGAAACTGTTAGGTGTAAAAGATTAAAACCACTAAGAAATAAAGCCTCAACAATAATTTATCATTAAAACATGTAATAGAATTTATAACGTACTTTGAATAAGAGTTAAGAACAGTAACACTTCAAAAATCCAATAAAAGGAAAATTTGTACTCAACATACATTGCTCTGTGCCTGATGATATTATATAAAGCTATTTTAGATATTGTTTTTAAGTGACAG